GCTTTCTAGAACGAATAATGCTTATCCCGACATCCCCAAAGATGAACACCGACTTGAACAAATCTCAACAAAACTACGCGCAGCCTGGAAATAATCGGGACGTCATTAAGTTGTTCGTGGGACAAATACCGCGTCATTTAGAGGAAGAGGATCTCCGACCAATGTTCGAACAGTTCGGAAAAATATACGAGTTTACTGTGCTCAAGGATAAATACACAGGAATGCATAAAGGTAGGTGGACAAAGACAACGTATTTTTGATCATCTGGGACCACTTGGATGTTCATCGTGCTACAATGCAAAAATATATTAATCTTATTAATTCAAGGCAAAACAAGACTTATATACCTAATCTAAAGCTTGACAAGTTAAATGTGCTTTAATTTTATAAAAATATAGAGGTATGTCCTAGAAACCAAGTCATATTTTGAAAGCGCAGAAAAATTTCTAAACCTCCAAAACCTCAAATTTGCAAGAGTTTAACTTTGACGGACTTCTAAGTCATCTATCAGTTTAGATTACCCCATATTATATATGTAAGATTCTTTTATAAAGGAATTGTATGCTCTATCAAGACAAATCACCTTTGTTCTATTTGGAACTTAGAGTGGGAGGCGAGACTGCAGCATTTATTTTTCAAATGGTCGTTGTATGCTGACATAAGAAGCGCTTTTTTGAAAAATGTGTACATCTATATTGTGAAAATTTATCTCAAATATGTTAAAGTTAAATGAATAATACTTTCTGTGGTTAATACTTAAATATGTATATACTCTTGCTTTTACCTTTTTTTCCTTTTTTTGTTTTTTTCTGTACGCAACCTTACTTCTTGTAATGCAGGCTTCTCCTAGAAGCAATAATAACAATAATTATAATTGTTATTATTATTATTATTATTATTATTATTATTATTGTTATTATTATTATTATTAATATTATTATTATTATTATTATTATTATACCTAGCGGGATCATATTGTAACCTAAAAATGTTTTGAAATCAAATCGTTCCCAAGAAAGTGTATTATGTTTTTCCACTGATATTTTAAATATTTTCAATAATTGCTATAAAAAAAGTACATTTTTCCAAAAAAGAAGAATATTGAAGAGGAAGGAACAAATAAAACGAAATAAATATTAGTGAAATATTTCTAATTGATTCAGAAAAGGATGTTAAGAAGCTTCAAAAGTTCTCTAGATGATTAACTATAAAATGTGAACTGTGTGGAGGTGCGCGCAAATCTAGCAAAGGACCATCCGAGCTATATAGGTTTATCTCTCTGAACGGGTTACATTGCTTGATAATGAGTAGCTTTGTCCCCCTGGTTTGATTACGCTCAGCAAATGAAGACGCACTATTGATATGCATTCAAGTTGGCATAGCTGGTTCCTGCTTATAATAGCAGAATCTGTGTTGGAATTGTGATTTCTTCGTCTCCGATTAGGCGTCCTTCAACCTGGGTTGTAGTGCAATCGAACCTCTTAATCGACATTGTAAACTTAGAATTTTTGCTTGCATTAAGTGTTCTTTAAGGCAATATTTCTTACCTGCTACAAGGATATCCCAATTGATGTGCCAGTTAGTCTGTCTCATTTATTCAGACATATTTCTACAAATTTTGACTAAAGACTATAAAGAGAAAATTTTTATTAGTTCATTTAAATATCATGGAGGGCTACGAGTTGTTTGCTTCATATTTACAATGGGGTTGAAATTTTTTTTTTCAGCTGATCGCCTTGTTGTTAACTAAAAGGTTTGATATTTATTTTTGTAGTTTTTTTATTCTGGAAAACTTTTATTATACCCTCATCCTGCATCCTTAAGGGCCTCTTGCTCTCCGTGTATAGAGCTCATTAGCGGGAGTCGTTTTATTATTTATCCAGGAAGAGTCTTTTCCGCCGAATATTCCTGTTCCATCACCATCACAGGTTCATTAATTGCCAAAATACTTTTCTAAAAAGTCAAGGCATCAGAGGCAGAGACTTCGAATATGCATGTCGGTTATATCCGATAATTCACATTCACATGCAAAAGTTCCGAATGACGCTTCAAGTAGTTTGAGGTTAGAATTAAATTAAGTCGCAATTAAGCGTATACATAAAACAAATTAAGTTGAAGAAAGTTGCGAAAATTTAACTCGCTTTAGTTTCCTCTTGGCATCAATTCATTATGTTAACGCCTCGCGTTAACTTTTCTTTTTCGCACGGCTTTCTAATTTTAGCCATTAAGTTTCACCTTAATTAAAAAAAATGTTTTACCGGTAAAGTATAATCAACTTATCCCTATCTAGACAAATGATTTATCTGACGTGTCATCGGAAAAATTCGTTAGCATCCGAACGAACATGCACACACAGATAGACACGAAAGATCGATTAGGAGCCCGAGGGAATTAATTATTGAACGTCGGGGATTTGCATAATAGGGGAACAATGAAGGGGCCACTCGCCCCTCTTACAAAACGACCTACATATGCCCCGAATCGTCCGTAACTGATTATGTTTTCCTTTAATTGACGCGAAGTTCGGATGGATTAAATTTAATTTCGACTCGAGCAGTTTCAAGCCCACCGAGGTTGATTAAATAAAAGAAAAATTGGAACATTTCTAGTTAAAACTCGAATTTCATTTCTGGTTTTGAATAATCGATTATAAGGAAATTCTATTATACTGTGAAAACAAGAAAAGAAGAAACTCAAAAAACAAAAAAAGCAACTTAGAAGAAAATTTTATGGTTACCTAGATGAGCCATATTGATCGATTGATTTAAAAATGATTAGTTATATAACTCCTCATTTGCTGGGCATATAACTTTTTTAGTCAATAGCTTCGTAATGGCGTAAGTAAGTTTATGAAACTCTCTCATTATTTTCCTTTAATCTTACTGTAATGTAGTATGCTGGCCTGTCTTCTTTAATGGAAGATCAGATAAGGCTGCAAAATAGTTGTCTTAAGTAATATCAGGAAATTTGATCACATTACTGTAAAATTAAAATAATTTTTTTCCCATTTATTTTTCTTATCTCTGTAGTTTTTTTAGAGTACCTCCTTTGCATTGATATGGCTAACTATAAAAATGTATTTGTGTTTTTTTTTAATACAATCAAGTTAGTGTTGTAAATCAATTCATAAAATCTCGTGATTTAGGACGGTTAGGAGAGTAACTTTGTCATATCTCTTTACTGTTTTATTTCTATTGTTTAGATATATAAATATTATTATTATTAAATTACCAAGTGTTCTTGGTCACTCCAACTTTTTCAGTCATTTTATAATTTTATTACTAATCCCTGAAGCTTCTTAGAATTAATGCTAAACTTACAATTTATGAGGTGTAAATTGTAACATTGTAACATTTGCTGTTGCTTGTTTTGAGTAAATATATCACTTTCAAAAAATTACTCCTAACACATCTTTTCGATAATAAAATAAGAATTTGTAGTTATATAAAAAATTCAGTCCAATAAATGATACATTCAAACAATTTTAGGCAAATTTCCGGAATATTTTTCCCACATCAAAATTGCCAATATGGGAACTATCAAAATTAGATTTTGAGACATCGTGTTTGAAAAAAACTCTGGTAATAATCATAATATTGCTGTCGAAAAAGGCGTAATTATCAGCAGCCTATATTTTATTCTTTCATTTTAGACAAGAAACCGAAATAAGAAATTTATTAGTTATGAAAATATAAGGGTTTAAAATTTCTTTAAGATGGGTTATTCCAAAGAAAAACAATTATAGGAGGCTACCGACCTGACAGACATGCTATTAGAAAAATCAGAACAATGCTAATGAGTAAATTTAAATTTTTTTCATTTTCTTCATGTCGTTGCATGAAAATTTATACCTGTTCAGGAATTAAACAATGAAAATCAAATTTGTCATTTATAGTTTTGTCGGGAAATACTTGCATTTTTGCTTAAGAGAAAATCGGCTTGGGCAGCAGGAGGAAAAACGTCTCTATGTGTCTCCACAATAATAAAATCATTGGATCTGTTAATGGTAATGGTTAACCAAACAGGATAGAGATTGAAAGATTACGATTAGGAGCATGAAGAACAAATTCATATATAAATCTAATATAGCACCAGGACGGAGAATTAGTCCAGGATTTCCTTTAAGATAAGTATTCTATTTTGGATAAAATGCATGAATAATTAAATTATCCAGGCATCTTTTCACAAGTACAAAATGTAGTATAATAGACCAAGAGCAATTCAAAATTTAGAAAAAAGCAAAGAGATGATCGCATTTATCACTATATCTACAAAGCCATTCATAAATAATAAATCAACGAAAATTGAAAATTTAACTTTCTTTTCAGAATCAGTATTTATTTATATTTTTTTGCCGAGTATGCCAGAATTTAGTTTGTTAATAGAATTAGCAGCAAATGTGATTATCAAGCTTCAATAGTTTCAATTATCCTTAGTAGTAAGTAAATCAATTTAAAGAAAAACTTATTTTAAACTTATTTCATAATTATGCAATCTGCCGTTATCCGCACTTAGAGGGGGGGCGAGACTTAGGCGACCTAGTTAAGCAAATACCCTTTCCTTAAGATTCGTTTTCACGGTGATGGTACTCTCAAAACAAAACTTATCTCCAAAGAATTTCCCACTATCTTGTCGAGCGAGGTAGACCGAGAACACTGTCGCGACACCATGATATTTACGATCGGTGTGTTTACAAGGTGATTAGCGGAAAAACGAGCTCTTATCTTAAGCTTGATGTTTTCTTTCGTTCAGACTGAAAAGGTCGGGCATCGGTAACAATATTTCCAAGATTCGCCAAGGTTTCGCCAAAATTCACCGAAAATGCATGATTTACGGAGCCGGTGGAGTGGCAGCATCAGTCAGGTGCAACTCACGACGCCGACATGCATGGCACCGTCTTCGTGGGCGCAAGCGTCGCTAAAAGGGCGCACGCGTCCATCCACCAAGTGGCCCTCGTGGTCTGACAACGACGCCCGATCGCTCTAGTAGACGCCGCACGTTTGTGACGTCAGTTCCGCGCTTCGAAAACTTTTTTATATTCGTGAAAAAGTGACCTCTACTCACCTCAAACTTTTTGTCTTGTGTTGTACGAAGATTTTTTAAGCTTCGGTGTTGTTCTTAGCGTTGGTATGCTTTTGCGATCAATCGTAGTTTTTGCCCGTTGAAACTTTTAAAAAGTTTAGAAGATATTTGGATATTAAAAAAAAAAAAATAATGCCGATCACACCGTCACTCCCAAACGTATTCACCACGAATTGAGATTTTTCGCAGACTTAAATTTGTCATCGTCGATTGCGAATTAATAGAAACTTTTTTTGCCTAAGAACAACGCAGACTTTTACCTTTCGCCACGAAAACTTACGAGAAACTAACCTAACTTTGAGATACCAATAACAGTTGTTGAAGCTAGTGACCGAATAGTGACGGAAGTTTTTCGAATAGTGATGTTGCATGGATATTTTCGGTGCGATTGTGCAAGAGCCGCATTTGAAAATTCCGGAGCGATCGATGCTGTCTGGCTCTAAATAAGCTAGTCTAGACAGCTGTCAAGTGAGAGGTCAGCGTTTCGCAACGTTACTGAATATTCTCAGCCTCATACAACAGGTAAGCGTAAGCTGTTTTGTGGAAATGACAGAAGCGCGCGTTGACATGAAAGCTTCACTCATAGAGATTTTTCCGAGGCCTTCGATGGTTTGGGCCATATTATTCTAATGCGTAAATTACCAAATCTCTTTGGCTTATCTGATAAACTTACTAGTTGCTTTACATTTATCAAGAGGAACACAACATATCTTTTTAAAATTAATATTTTTTAATATTTATCAGAACAATTTGACTTTTTTATTTTACATAAAATATTAAAGGGCTTTTTACACTTAGTTAACCGAAATTGCGGTTTATTTAAAGACAACTACTTAGTTTTTCATAATTCACTTAAATGCGTTCATATTTTTCTATTTTTGAAGTTAAAAAATATTTAATTTAACACCACTTCTATTTTTAATTTTTGTAACTTTTAGAATCGATTAAAATATTCGAACCTATTCACAAATAGCTAAAAAATATTCATTTTTCGCAGATTTTGTCATACCTGACGACTTTTTAGAAAACTGTGTTGAGCATGGATGGTTAACATATCATTAAATATAGCAGGAATTTCGATTAACCTTAATTTGGATCTAAATGGTTTAATGTTTGAATCAATATAAATATTAACTTCTAACATTTATTCTTTCACAAATTTTCATGGTGATTGTATGTTTCCCATAACTTCATTTCCACACTTTGTCATATTGAATTTAGCGATTCTGCCATTTTCTGAATGTTCTGTTTACTTGTTCACCGAGACCTATTCCTGGAGTCTGCATTGATTCGGGTCTAAAGTACATAAAGTCTGAAGCACGGTTCTTAAATTAAAGAGTTTTTGGAATTCACTCTTAATTTTTCCAAATAAATTTTTCGGTATTGTCGCTTACGTAAGTCACCTTTGTTACGTCTTGTAGGCCAAAATTTTGAGCTCTAGCACTTTGTTTTGCCAACCATACCGATCGAAAATTGTTGCTCGCTTACAATTGTACATATCGTATGTCTTTCGGCAAGATTTATAGGTTACGGTTCTGCAGTCCCCGTGTTGCTTTGTGATAAGCTTTGGAGAAGCTTTATGTTTCCTTTTACTGGTCGGCATATGATGAATTCTTGGTACCGCAAATTAAGGTTGAGGTTCTTTCGGATCGGATTTTGGCGTTTATGTTGGCGACTACTTTTATGATGAGATGATATACAAAAATGAGAAATAATAATATGAAATGCTCACATACAATAATAATCTAAGCATGCTGTGCACAGGTTGATGGAAAATCTATGGACAAGAAAACTTATTGAAATTTTGGCAATGTGATAAACTGAATGGTTACTACTTTTTAGGTGGTTTTCTTTTTTTTTTATCGGAGAGAGGCTCATTTGACTAAACAATTAACTAAACTAGTTTTAAAATATTTCAAAAATTGAGAGACATCTGATTTTAGAAATTAATTAAATTTTGGGTTTTCTTAGATAGTTAATACTTATTTTTTTACGTGATGACAGAGTACTATTGCAAGTCTTGTAGTCTTCTGCGTCGGTTGTTGATAACTGACGTTGCTGAAGAGTTTATTAGTTTTAAACAGTATTTTAATCCCTGTGTGAGCTATTAGTTTCTTTTTCATATCCATAAATATTAAGTTTCATCTGAAATTTTATATGGCAAATTTATAATATCTTATTTTTCCATAGCATAAAACAAAATGAAGATGTTTATTATTGCATCCATAACTGCAGAAATAGATGGATATGTTGTTAAATTCTGTAAAATGTACCTAAGAAATGTTTGATATGTTACTACCATGTGATAGCTTTTCGTGTAAGATAAAGTACTCACAAGTGATTGTTGCATACAATTTTTACAATGGCATATTTCTTACACATGAGCAAGATAGTGCAATAAAGCTTGTAAAAAGTGCCCACTCAAGTTTTATATGCCAAATGTAAAAATTCTCCCAAGCTTTTTGCTTTTCTTTTCTCACAAGTATCACCAATGCATAAGGCGCTTGATGATTATTAAATTGGAATCCACCACATAAACATCAGTGTATGAATGAGTTCATATTATCATCATGTCTAGTGATCCGAAGAAAGGCAATCGAAGATTACTGAAAGAGTTTATTCATTAATACCAAAATAAACAAATCAAAAGGACTAATTATAGAATAATTTTCAGGAGTTGTATAACTGCAAGCTGGTGGAGAGATCATGGTAGAATATTCCATATATCCATATTTGCATGGTCGCAATCGTAAAGTGGATATAAATTATTCTTGGTGAACTACAGCTTAATTAATAAAAGGTGTGTTACAAGTCACAAAAGTTTCAGATAATTTTCTGGTATTCTAAGATAATTGTTTCAATCATGCAGATATGTGCTGAATTTGCTTAATAAATTAATATGGGAGTGACTTCTTTTGCTTTCTATTTTAAATGTCACATATCTTTTTGCTTGTTTTGCTCTTAAGAATTAGGCAAAAAGCAGCCTAAGGTAAGCATATCGTCGTCCGAGCTAGTTATAAACTGCTAGGTATAAACTGGTGCTGTTCAAGCACCGTGGGCGGAGAAAGGAAATTAGGCCTGGTTGTACAAAATAATTGATCAAGTGTAAGAATATATTTTAGTTACAGTGATAAAAGAAAATATATTATCTCTGTTCGACAACAGTAGTAGATGAAACGAGAACCTTTTATAGATGCATTTAAGTTTGCGTGTCACACTGGCTTTGAAAGAAATTTGACATATTTCGTTTAAAGTGTTTGCGATCTTCGCGAGAAAGATACTGCAAAGTAAATGTTGTTCATTAGCGCAGGTACTGAAGCGCAAATAAACACAATAATACAACGAACTACTCTTTGCTCGCGCAGATATTTGTCTGCATACAGATATTTGCTTAATATAATTATTTGCTTGTGACAGATCTGCTATTTGCAATTGTTTACCTCATTTGAATTAATTACACGTTCATTACGCTACAACCGTGGCTGGTTTAAAATAGCGTCGGTTCACAAAACTTGGGTCGCGATTAAAAGCTGGAAAGCTGACGGGAAATTTTAACAATGAAATTAATTACTTTTTCGGGCATCATTAGACCCTCATTCGCCCACATAAAACAAATTTGTTTATTGCGGACGACATCTTATCAACTTTGTTATGGTTTGGTTTGGTTGCGTTTAAAAATTTCTTAACTACACAATAATAACACAGCTGGACTATTTTCGAATATGTATTTTAGTTAGATATAAAACTTGATAGCCTATTCAATCAATATATAACTGTGAAATTATTTACCCATTTAAAGTAGTTCTTTCAAGGAATGAGCAGTTACTCAGAGCTAATTTGTCGAAAAAAAAGTATTTTTTTAAATTTATTTTTTATTTATTATTTATTTTACCCTTAATGTTACTTTTTTCCTTCAACGTGCGTTCTTCACTATATTTTAAAACTTCGAATATAGTAAATGTGCAGGCGGACATATTTTTTGAGTACTGCGCTCTGAATAGATTCGACGTAAATGTTCATTAATGTCTCACCAATTTGAAGCTCTCGAGGAATCCGAATGTGAATTTAAAATAAAAAAATACAATTAAAACGTCTTAACGTTAAGATTTAGGGATTAGTTTGGACTCTAAAACTGTTGTTCGAGTCTCATATGGTTGCTGTTATTTGGAGAGCACTGCGTAATTTAGGATTCATTCTGAAAACCTTCAGTAGTTTTAGCTTTAAGAATCCAGATTCTTTAATAACGTTATATTGCAGTATGGTTAGAAGTGTTCTGGAATATTCTTGGAAACCGATGTACCACATTTACGTGGATTGAATCGAGAGGGTTCAAATAAAATTCATTAACCCTTTTAATTTTCGTTCAATAGAGAAAGATACTTTTACTCTTGTAATGAAAATTTACACTATTATCGCTTGCAATCATTGACGTGCAGAAGGTGAAGGGAATTTTCTTTGTTTATAACATAGTAAATAATCTTATGGCTTCCGTGTTTTGTGGGAACTATAGTTCTTTTTTTATATTTTGTTTTTTATACCCTTCGGAAGAGACTAATGTAATAATATTATCAAAAGTGATAGGGTTTATTCAATACTAATACTAATTTAAGAGTTTTTCAGAATTTCTATTGGCTTTTTTATTTGCCTTTAGCGTTTTTTTTATAATAGCGTTATTTCGTGTATTACAATTGTTGTTATGCACCTCTACCGAATTCTGTAATTATTCTTATTTTTTAATCGGTCGGATACGAGCATTCTGCTGAGTAACGTTGCTTTTATAAATAAACAAATAAGTTCTTATGCAGTATTTTTAATTTGCTGTTAATGGTTTGTTAAATGTTATCTAAAGTCTTATTGTGAATTTTTATCTACTCTCTTTTTAGTGTTTCTATTATAAACTTTTTCCCAATGCGGTTTCATCAACATTACTTTGAAGTTAATGAACTATACTAAATGTTGCTATTATCCTTCAAAAATAAGAAAGAGTAGTGCTTGAAGAGAAGTGACTGTATCTCTCAATAATTGTTTTTTATTTGTTTTAGTTAGCTCATTAAAAAAAAACATAAATGGAAAAAGTACGATTTTCAGAAAAAACAAAAAAAAATGAATTAATTAATAATTAAAAATTATCTATCTACATCAAAATTTTTCCTAATGGATGTTTTTCCCACCCTATTAAAGAACGAAAAAAGAAAATAACCTAGTGTTAAATACATATAAAGTAGTTACAAAAAAGGCTTCATTAATGAACAAGCAAAACAATTTTAAAAAATAAGTTTTGAAAAAATCATAGCAAACAAAATCAAAAACATTGAGTTAGTTGGAAAATGACTCTTCGTTTCCCCTTTGCCTTGTACAGTGTCTGGTATTTCATTTTCGGCGATGCCTGGTGACTTTCGAGCACGACTCTTATAAGAAATCTCCTAAAACAGTAAAATTTACCATCAATATTGTTCATAAACATTAGGAATGTAGAATATTTCGGCACATACACAAAATTTAAATTTTTCTGTGGATCCATA